CCAAGGTTTATTTTCAGACTGCATATCTGGGTTAGTCAAAACTAGGTCGTGTACAAAAACGTATTGTTGAGTCTAGTTGACCTTTCTGGATTGAAAATGGCTGATGATATAAATCAATAATAACAATTAAAATGAGTATACAAAAATAAATTTGATTACTAATAGAAAATAGTTCATCCTGGTCACTATGACCTGATCTTAAGTGATTAGTTACGGGTAATGATTGCTATCCGTCTGCCTCAAAGTTACTGCAAGATCCAAACTATTGAATTGAAGACAACTTAAATACAAAATGTGTTCGCGGAAACGAAATTGAGAGAGCGATTTAACACCGAAGTAAACCGTTGTCGGTTACTTTCCAAAGAGCACGATAGCATCTACATGGCGGTCGGTGCACGAGCGTTTGGGCTTAATAGCAGCACACCGTGAGGCCAGCATCCGCATAGAGACAGCCAGCGCTAAATGAAAGTTGATCGCGCAAGCAAAAATACCAACACAACCACTCGCCGCACAAACACCAACCGCTGCAAATATCGCCGCTGCCGCAACCATAGTGTCGTCATGTTTTGTTTTTATCATTGCATGAAGGTAGTCGTAAAAAAAAGAAAACTTGAGATCATTTTACGAAATTACTCCGATTCATTCTCAAGTGTTTTAATTTACAAAGCAATATTTTCTAAATGTTAGTTTGAATTTCGCGTTTCAATATACTTTAAACAATATTTATGAAAAACAAAAACAAAGTTTTCAAAGAAAAGCTAATTTTACGAAACAAAAAAGATGCACTGAGAGATGTCACCTATTTCCTCGAAATCGGTCATTGGGAGCGGTTTATTTGTGTTATTTCGGAATATCCGACAAATAAAATGACCGCCAATTGAGTGCCAAAAGCGTGGGAAGTGAAAGAACTCGAGACAGGCACAATAAGACATTTATGACTTTATTATTATAATGACAAATGTTAGTTCTAAGGGATTCTCCCTTAACGATCTTTTCAAATATAATTTATTTTATATAAGGGTGCGTTAATAGATTCTATTCAAAGCCCGCATCTGCCTCGTGTAACCATCGTCAATCGTCATACTGTAAACAATGAACAAGGCACAACAAATGAAAGTTGTGATCACTATAATTATATTTCAATGGAATATTGTCGGGTCGAGACTATGGCGTGGGAGTGTTGTTATCTTATAAAAGCATCGATGCAAGTACCCATCTGCGGGGGTGGACGAGGAATTAGGTTAAAGGTTGGGGAGGTCGAAGTCGCGCATTAAGCAGTTTTGGGGTCGAGGCTACATGAAGCGATCATAATTCGTCCCGAAATAAACTCCAAATTATGTCGTAAAACAATCTTTGCTTTCCGGTTGAGTAACCGGCATGTGAAACTGCCGTCATTGATTCTTTCGGTATTTCTTTTTTTTTTTTTAGGAATTTAAGCATCAACATATTGTAATACGTAAAATTTTAAACAAAACATCGTATTGACGTCGCAGAGAATATTTAGTTTATATCATGGTGTTAGCTTTTAAACTATTTTTATGTAGTCTATTTTCTTAAAAGTTATTTAGTCTATGCTATAAATCTATACCATTTATATTTTATTGAAAAAAATAATGTAAACTTTGTAATCCAACGCATTATTTAAATATTTATTTCATAATTTTAAAATGTAAGAATTATATTTGTTATTTTAATAATCGGACAGTAATCAGATGTCAGAGACAAAAGTGTTGTATTAAACTCGGCTACACGTCAGCTATATTGTTAGTGGCGAACAGGGGATGGTGGATACATGGGAAAACGGTGTTATAGGCAAGGTTATTCTATACAAATTGGAATAAAACATAAGAGCTAAAGAACACTTTATTTTACTAAAGCGTAATATGGCTGTGACGCCCATAATAGGTACGTATATTGATGCAAATCATAGTACAACCGTAAAATCGATCAATCAAACCTAACGGAACCGCAACTAAACTCCAGTCAAATGCCAGTTGAAAATCAGGTCAAAGGGATGTAGGGCGCCGCGTTCCCCGCAGGACGAGGGGGGCGTGCATCCAATAATATACACCTACAGGATATACTCTTGCAATTGTGTACACGGCGTGTAAAGGAGTTGATAGGACGGAAAATTGTATTGTGGCCAATGAGTCAAGGGTCCATGTAACTCGATGCATTCGTGCTTTTATTGGAACGTTACACGTCGGCTACATCAAACGTTGGCCAGTTTGATGCACATACGTCACTAGTATTATTAAATAAACGTGCTGTCGCCCGCAAACTTCGTTAGCGCAAATTTTGGACCACCCGTTACGCAATTTTGACAGCGCGAAATTAAAAAAAGCCTATAATATGCCCGTCTATGTCTACCCTTCAGTGAACATCCGATCGAAATTGGCTCAGCCGTTTCAGAGATTACCTGAAACTAACGCGGCTTGCCGACAGATAAAAAAAATTAAATGCAATATTCGTTATCAGCAACGCAAATACATCATCTTCCCGAAATTTGCAATTTTTCTTTTGATATTACAAAAAGACACTCCAATTTTATTATATGTATAGATAGACAGGGATAGATAGATAACTCATGTTATAAGTTATTTTAGTTTTCTTTTTTATAATTTAATTGTTTGGTGAAAAAATTAAGGATGAGTTAGGCTCTCCCTACTAAAACCTTGTAATATAAGGATGACACCTTTAGAAACATTGTTTTTCTTGGTTGAACAATTCTGAATATTTCTCTTACAAATTAACTTCTAGACACCAACATACATAGTGCCATTTGAATATCACTACAGACATCATTGAAAGCAGCTAATTCAGGCTCCAGCTACCAGTTAAGTTACTTATGTATATTAAGACATGACCAACTGTAATACATCCATTTTGTACACAATTGTAGTACAAACAAAGAGCTTGTATTAGTTCCATAATTTGTAATAGACAGTCCCAGAAAACACTTAGGGTGAGTTGCACCATATCGCCGGTTACCGTTAAAGTTAAAATTATTTGTAACAGTAATATTTGGAATAACCTTAAAATTAACTAAGGATGAGTTACATTAACTAACTATAAACCTTAACCAGCACATTCCCGATGGTTACGTCTTCGGAAGTTCATGATATTCGCTACACCAGTTTTGCGCTGGTCAAAATGACGTCATATTTGACACTAATCATAACCGCCCGATTTTGGGCGGTTATAGTTAGCGTTACGGTTAGTGTCAGTTCGGTAGTGTCAACTGTCACAAGCTCTTATCTTCAAAAGCACAAATAATGGAAAAAGTAATGGAAAACGAAAATCTCTACTATTATCCTATACGTAATCCAGAAGAATAAAGTCTTGCGTGCTCGGAAATAATGGATTTCCAAGATGGAACTCGAAATTTGGCCAAACATTCAGTTTGGACAAATTTCGAGTGTCTAAGGCCATAGCAACAGCGCTTGTCCCTTTTCTCTTATTTAAAAAAATGTCCTCCATAAAAGGACAATTTATAATATGCATTGACAGGACAATTTATAATATGGAAAATAAATAAGATGCATTTATATTTGTATAATTTTATTGCTTCATTTTTGCTACATATTTGAGTAGTAAAGTAAATACAGTTTCAATAATGGCCCAAACTAGTTTATTTTCACAAGAGTTTGCCATTTTCTCCATCTTCGTGGGCAAAAAGTTTATTTCACTATAAAATACCATGTGTATGATACATAAATATAATCGGCGAAACATGAATTTCCAAACATTTTAATTTACGTAAATGTCATTCTTGACACCAACTTGACACTTTAGTGACATTCAGGTTTAAATGTTTCCATTGTAAAAACGAAAAACACATAAAACCGCTGTGAGAATATGTTTTTGCACTTGTAACCCTATTAACTAAAACTATAACTTTTACGATAACCGGCGATTTGATGCAACTCACCCTTAAACCTATTCAATTAAGATGTCCGATCTCCATGTAGAATTATTTTAAATAATGAGCAGAATTTTTAATAATTATTTACATTGAAGAAAATAGTAATTCTGTATTACGATTCATGTCATCAGTAAATGTCATATAAAACATTTAAAATGCATGCAATAATAATGAATATTATTTGCATTATTAATTCTTTCCATTCATTATTAAAACATTGTGTTTCGCAACATTATTTATAAAACATAAACATTATGTTTCCATCTGAAAGATGAAGCTTGGTATTATTAAATTGATTACTAGCTGTTGCTCGCGATTTCGCGCGCGTTTATTTAAAAAATAATAAAAAACATAGCCTATGTTACTCACAGGTTCTCACACCTTTCTAATGGTTACAGAATTTTGAAAATAAATTTTAAAAATAGTTAAAGAATTTTTAAATCGGCTCAGTAGTTTTTTAAGTTATTTCATTCAATACATATAAAAATATAAATCTTTCCTCTTTATAATATTAGTATAGATAATATAAAGAAGAGATATTCCTCTTATTATTTACTTACAATACTTAAGATTAAAAGACTCAAAAGCAGAGCATTTAGCTAAAACAAAATACATACCTTACTGTAAATTCTAAGTATTAATTTTTAAATAAATATGATATAATTACAAGAGGGTACAACACATAAAGTTGTATTAGGTGGATAGTAAATGTTGTACAACCCTTTTTAACTTGTGCTGTTATCTCACTATTTTCAATAAATTTAAACATTTCTTGTATTTCATACTGTTTAGTTTTATTAAAATTAGTAAATAACAAATTAGGGAAAAATTCCAAGTATGACCAAAATTTAAAAAAAAAATTCAAGGGTAGTTTAAATAAATTTACACTACAGTGATAAAAACACATGTAAATCTAATTTTTGTAAATGTAAACCTCATTTTTCTGTAATAAATCATGAGTGTGTTTTTTTTTATCCAAGATTTAAATAATAATATTAAAATATTAAAAAACCAGTTACTGCTCCTAATTGTCAGTGTTTGCAAATTGTGGGTGTTAAAAGTAAATTTTTCTTACATTTGTTTTTGGCATTCTCATCCATGAGCATGTTAAAGTGGTGATGGCGGTTCCACGCTGCCATTTTGCCTTCGTGAGGAGCCCCAAGAAGCACCAGGGCCGCCCCGGCGGGCCCAACTCCGTCTAGGGGCTCCAGTGTCCTCAGCACCCTTCAACTTTGTCACACACTCATAACCCGAAACGCATAGCTAGCACACGATTCACTGTTTTAAATCGCCGTCGCCCCGGACGGCGGTGTCATCGGCGCCGTCGCGCGCCACACATGCCTTTGCACTTCCTCCACGCACTTGGGATGCACTCGCGGGTAAATAAGCACGATCAACAAGCCGCCCGGTGAATCACCTCCGACGCACGACGCACGCCGCACTGCAGAGTGCAACCGGACTACGCGCGCCCACCGACCACTGACACCCAAACACTCGGCCCGCGTCACGTGTGCCGTGCGCTTCCACAGCGCTCGCACCACCAACAAACACTAGCCTTCGCGCACGAAAACAATTTTGCACACCCGTACGAAAAAACTTATTTCGGTTAATGAAAATTTATAAATGCAACAGAATGGAACGCGCCGTGAGGGAGCAAGACAGACGACGCGATTTCCCTTCTTCGATCCGATTCGATCCTCACGGCTTAGAAACGAACTCGCGAGCCGCGAACAAAATAATAACAAATGTGCATGAGATGCTTGCTCTATTATGTGCACGTGGGTTGCGTCACAGAACCGATGTGATGGGTATTCACCTCGGTAGACAAGAACAAATGTTTCCAAAAATTGCGACGGATTCACCGAATACAGATTACAACTGTGGCAAGCTTTTGAACGGTTTCAAAATTTGATGAAATACGAACTACACCATTATTCACACGAGTATCAAAAGTGGTAGCTTAATATAAAGCTACACTTAAATAATTACAGAGTCATAAACTACACTATTTGTAAACAAAACACAGCCTGTAATACATTCAGAAAAATAGTAGTTTGGAACAGAAATCGCGAACGCGTTGATCAAGCGCGACAAGTAGGACAAAACATGGCAGACTCGATGAAAAGCACACGAACTTTGTCTGTGGTCGTTTTATTTTTAAACTTTATGGTTTCCACTACGTTCCATTTTAAGAAGCTTTTTTCTTTTGTTGAAACTGACAAAATAATCATTTTTGAGTAAATAAACAATTTAATGATTCCTGATTCTTGTTCTTGTTAAAACAAAAACAATCGATATCAAAAAGAAAATTAAAAAAAAAGATTAACTTATACCATAGAGAAACGCATTGATTCATTCCAAAATAAATGAAAAGCATATTATTGTACGCCAGTATAATTTTAAGGTTTTACTCAAGTTTTATCTATAAAAACACTTTTGTTTTTCATTTAGTAGGCCGAGTATTTACTGAACATGGTTTACAATTGAAAGATAATGCACCTATCACCATCATCAACGCGTGAATGGTGTGCATATGGATATGGATTGATGTACAAAAACTATGAATCAAGGTAACAAGCTCCAATTTTCTATATAGACAAGCAATTTTAAAAGCAGAGCTTTTTGAACATCCTCAGAACACCATAACCATAACGATTAGAGGCTTTAAGAATGCATAGAGAACAAACATATTCATCCACTAATCATTTTGAGAAGTTAATGTAAGTGAGTAAGCTAGTGAAACAGCTTCGACTAATTTCGAATTGTCTGATTTAAAGTTTTATTTTAAGCATAGTTTAATCCTATCTGATAATTGATTCAAGGATTTCATCTGTGGTGCTACCGCCAAAGACAAAATCATCATTTAATTGACACTTTGTTTTTTCGCTTGCTTATTCTTTGATAGGGATTGGAAGCAGCCATCTTTGTCTTGTTGTTTTTCTATTCTAAAGTTGCTTTGTGATTTATTGAAATTGAATTTAAGGACTCATTGCACTATTACCAGTATTGTAATCCAAAACATTTTAATAGAAATTAAAGGCAGAACCATATTAATCGCCTTAAAAGTGATATTCAATAGCAATAGTAATTAAATCTAAACATGCCAAAACGTGGTGGAGCACGTATAAAAAATTGGAAAACTGATAATGACCATTTCGGTAAGTGAGCACTATTTTCATATTTAACCCTTAATTCGGTAGTGTCGAGTGGGATAAAGTTCTACTGAACTAGTTCAGAGACAAAATACGTGAGATTTTGATATTAGTGTGTTGATAACATATAGTATTTTTGCTACAACAATTATAATTCTTATGCAAGATTATCTCTTATAGAACACGATGATCGTTCACATAATCCGCGACGAGTAAGCTTCAAGCCAGGTACTAACAAAGGCAAGAATAAATTTACCCACTGGAACAAAAATGCTAAATTATTGCTTGATGATGATGTTGATATGGGTATGTCTGGAGGGTTGTCTGGAGGGCCTAGAAAACCATTTAGAGGACGCGGAGGACGGCTTGGATCTCCAGCGCCAAGACCTGGACATGCTGGCAAGCGGTTTACGCCAGGCATGCTACCATGGTATCAAATAGTAATTCCATACGGAGCAAAACATGAGAAAGAAGTTTTGTTACGTGCTTTACTCAATCATGTATCGCCAGATATTTTCAATCCACATTATTATAGAATTAATGGCAATGCTGCCATTTTCTATGTGGATGATGTTAAATCTGCTGAGAGTTTGTTTAAAGCAGATAAAAAGATCTTAATGCCAGATGGGTTTAAACTTGTGGTGATTGTGAGAAATGCAGTTCCGAGTGTTAATATTGATGCCAATATGAAGGAGAAAATGAAGTTAGTTATGGCTAAAAGATACAATCCAGCTACAAAAGCTTTGGATATGACAAAGTTTCATTCCGATCCTGGTAAGTTCATTAGTCTGCTTTATTTTTAGTTTGTTGACATTTTAATAGTTTAGTTTGGTATACAATTTCTCACATTTTCATCAATTTATTTTTCCAGATTTATCGGAGATCTTCTGTGGTCTATTTCGGCCTGTCATAATGCTTTCTGCAATTGATATCATAGCAGAGAACATCCCGGACATTGAAGCCTTGAACCTAAATGATAACAAACTACATGGACTTGACCATCTCAAGATTATGGCAACAAAATTGAAGAACTTGAAGATTTTATATTTAGCCGATAATAGGGTATGATCTTATTTCTGATGCAATTTCTTCTTTTTGAAAAGAGAACACTGAAGACCCTCAATAATTATGAACATTTTTTGAAATCAGTCCTTCTAATGAAAATAATTCGTCTTATGAAGTCTATTATGATAGTTTTCATATATCTTGATGGCTTTTAACTTCATGTAACATGCTGCACAGAACAATTACAGTTGTACCATGATGCGAAGTGATGGCAAATTGCTATATACCAATAGCCTTGGGTCGTCTAGATTATTGAAAACTGTAATAGTTGAAACTATTCATTTGTTAAGTTAAGATGTGCATGTTTCAGTTATTCTATTATCCTACCACCTTTTATCATCTATCCATCTGATATTGTAAAGAGAATGATTTGAATTTTTGTATGTATTAAATAACTCAAAAACTACTGGACCAATTTAATTTTTTTTGCCATTAAGTAGCTAAGACATCATGGAGTATAGGTAATGTTTTTATCTATTTTTTATGTCAAAGTCGGGGGAACAGCTAGTATTCTACAGTTTAAGTTCCACTTTACTTTCATTCTGATGTATTAGTAATTGTGTATCAAATGATAATTTGCAGATACCCATTGTTGGATCACTGGAGTCTTTAAGAAGCCTACCACTGGTGGAATTGATGTTAAAAGGCAACCCGTTGCAGAACAGGTTTAGTGATCATGATGATTATGTCAGGTAATATTTGATTGATTTAAATACCATTTGTTTGAAGTTCCAAGAGTTGGAAGCCTTGGATTTACTTTTTAAGGTATTTGGTTATTGAACTCTAGTGAGATAACTTGGATCTACCTTGTAAAAATTGATGAGGAATTTTCTGTATTTGATTATTGTGATGTTGGAAATGCTCAGGCTGGTAAATGATGAAATTTGAAAATTAACATTTTTGATGGCAATTTTTTATTCTGAAAATTATCATTTTTGCAAGAAATGATTCTATATATTTAAATAATTATTTGAGGGAAAAGACAACCATAACACTTTTATAATAGCATTGTACAGAAATCTAGAAGGTAGTAATTTTTTGTACTAGCTTTTGCTTGTGAATTGAAAATGTCACTCAGTGATGTTTTTTATTATTTAGCTTCCTAAGGGTAAAATTTTGAAACCACTCTAGAAGTTTTAAATACAAATCTTTCTATGTAATGTTTAAAAGAGTGCAATAGTTATTTGAAAAAAAAAATATGATTGAATTATTCATTAATTTTAGAACTATGTATCATTTGATTATGTAAATGGTGTTTATTTACATTTCACCTATTATGTACATTTTATAAATTATATTTTGTATTACCTTGTCTATGTACCGCTTAATTATTAGTAATTTGTTATTTTAATTAACATCTGAAATAGAACCTTTTAAATTGTAACATGTAGACAGTTAAGTTGAATACAAGAAAACTCCACAATAAAATAACCAATAATAATTTTACCTTCCCTCAAATGTTTACCCCTATGGACCCTTCTAATGGAATTATATCACGTTGGAATTAATATCTTATTTTAGTGAAGGGAGTGAAATTGATATGAAAATAATACAAACATGTCTTTTCATTTATTATATTATACAATTTTATAACTAAAAGCCCCACAGACTACAAATGCTTAATTGGGTAATCAGTATGAGCTTGTATGGAAGTGTTTACGCCTAGTTCTTTTGATAAGAATTTGGTTTGACAGTACAACCCAACTAAACTATTGCCCAATTAAAAGTTTATAGTCTGGGATCCCTTAAATTATTCAAAACTGACAAAACAATTTGAATTAGTTCCAACTTTGACTTTAATCATAATAATCCATGCTTGCTTCTTTAATAATTATGTACAGATCCTGTTATGATTAATGACTTTTTAAATACACTAGAATTTTCAAGTTTGTGCTTTGGTAATCTGAGTAGTGTTAAAAAGTGAGTCAATAACAAATAACAATGTGCATTAACCCATATGATATAAACAGAACACTTAGATTGTGCGCACATCTTAGACTAAACTATCACACAATTTTTACTTTCCATTTGATTGTTTTAAACTTATATGGAGGTGCACATACTACTCGATTGGTTGTGCAACTAAATAGTTGAATTGGCTGTGAAACAATCTACAAGCTCACAGCCATTGTGCGATAGTTTTGGCAAAGTTGTACGCCCACTCTTATTTTTAATTTTCATCTTAGTTAAACTTTTTTTAAGGGAGTTAGGTCAGTCATTGCACATTTTTATTTGAAACTATACTCAATTTTTTATCGAATAGATTGCTTAGCACATTACTGAAGCGTTTGTATTGAGATATCTAGTGTATAGTAAAGTTAAGTGTTTCAGAGATCACTTTCACCTTTGCCTTGTTGTTTGTCCAGCACCGTGCGGAAGAAGTTCCCCAAGCTTGTACGGCTGGTGAGTATATTACAATCAATATCTTCCAAATGAAAGCCTATTTAGATTACAAAATGGTTATAGCAGAGGTTCCCAAACTCTTTTCATGTAAAGGTTCATCATTTTCAAAATTGATTGATATCCAATTTGGTTACCAGCGATTGTGGACCTCTGCTCTCTGTCCTATAGACTCCGAGAGTTTCTGTTGTAAAGAAACACTTCTTTCACATTAATTGCCTGTTCATTAAGCAGCCATCTTGGCTTGTATTTTCCATAATTACAAGCTTTTATTTGGAAAATTAAATTTTCTCAACTGTTGACAGGAAATATTTAGTTTTTGCATGTTTACTGATAGTTTTTTTGAGCGTTGTTGCTACACAATCTATTCGCCAGGACGGTGTGGATTTGCCGCCAGCTATCGGTTTCGACGTATCAGAAGATGTAGCTCTACCAGCTCAACAACAGTCATTCCTCATCGAGCCGGCAGCACAGGACTTTGTTAGGCAGTTCCTAGCTCAGTATTTTGCAGTCTATGATTCCGAATCTAGACAATCCTTAATGGATGCATATCATGAAAATGCAACAATGTCTATGACGTCGACATACCTTACACATGATACAAGAAACTCTCCGGCCACTAAGTAAGTAAAACCACAACTTATAACCTTAAAAAAATGTTGAAATCTTTTCTCTATATTTTTAAATAACACAATATAACCTCAATTAAGACAATTTTTTTATAGAATAACTAAAAATGTATCCATGGACATCCATGTATGGCATATTATCCTATATTTACTTATTACAGCTGTTGGATTAAATTAAAAAATAACTCAATATCTTTTCTTTACTATTCATTTTGTGAGTTAATTATTGAGTGCCTTTATTTAAACTTTTACAATTAAAAATAAATTATTAAGATTAGTATGTATTCTTCTAGACTGGTTATATCTTTACCACATTTCAGTCTGTTAAGCAATTTTGAAAATCCCTATTATGAAACCCATTCATCCAAATATTCGCATTTATAATGTTGCTATAATCGTAGGTTACAACAGTATATGCCAAACAGTCGGAACATCTTGAGGATCACAGATAGGGAGTCGAGACGTAGATATCTTCGTACAGGCAAGCTGCAGGTGGTCGCCTTCCTCTCCGACCTGCCGAAAACAACACATGATCTCATGGGATTCGCTGTCGACGTACTTATTTATACTGTAAGCTATTTTTTTATTGTTATCTAGCGTTTATAGTATATTACATACAAATTTCTTTAAGATGCTTTTTTCTGTACATCCTCTTCATCAATTAGAAGTAGGCAGTGTAATTGTAAATGACCATGTACTTTCAGTGCCCATTAGCTTGTTGGTCACTTAATATAAAATATATTTCAATGCTAGCTGCCGCTCCCAGAGTTGTTTAATGGTTTATTTCTGTGTTGATTTAATGTACTCCTTAGTGACCAATTAACAAAACTAATTTGTAAATTTAAGTCTGTAAATTCTTACTTATATAAGATATAAGCTGTTGCTTGCGACTTTCTCCACATCAAATAAAAAAACAAAACATATGTTGATAATATAGTTTTTTAAAGGTGAAAGAATTTTTAAAATCGGGCCAGTAGTTTTTGACTTATTTCAACACAAACGAAAATGCAATTCTTTCCTCTTTAATTTTTAATTTACAAACGTGGAACCCTTTAATAAATTACAAGTGTAAAGGTTTAAATTTTATAGTACACATTTACACATAGAATTTTAATTCCTTTGCAGCCTACATTGATAATGGTGTCGATGAATGGTGTTTTCAAAGAGACGTCAACGCAGGGTAATACTAGTCGGTCTTTCCACCGCACGTTTATGATAGTGCCTAATAGCTGTGGCGGTTTCTGTATCATTAATGATATGGTCTTCATCACCAATACCACTAAGGAACAGGTAATATTTTAATAATACCTTTTTTTGTTTTTAAAATAGAGTACATGAACTGTCGCCATGTTGGAGAGAGGTCTCAAATGGAAAAGAAAATTAAGTTTTAATTTTTTTTATTAAAGTACCATTTATATTTGAAATCAAACTACAACAATTTTACTACATATCGAACAAAAATAATATGAAAGACAACCAGGAGATTACCATCCTCCCTTTTGGAAATCAGTGAAAAAATATGTTAACACTCATTTTTCAAACGCTTTCCTACAAATTGTTGACAAATCAAGTTCTTTGATACTTAAAATTCTATGTAAACAAATTAATTTCTTTATAGGAAGATAAACTGTTCCAATCCGGTGTGCCCGCCCCCGCCCCCGCCCCTGCGCCCGTGGCCGCCGCCCCCGCCCCCGCGCCCGCCCCCGCGGTCCACAACGAGCACCACAAGATGCTGCTCGCCGCGCTCAGCCAGCAGACCGGCATGAACGAATACTGGAGTATGAAGTAAGTACTGTATTTAAACTGAGTAAAAAATCTTGTATGGTTTGCTTAACTATGTTCGATACCAAATTGAAAGGGAATTTAATTTAACTAAAACAAGCTTTAATTACAATTATTCAGATTTGACAGTAAAAAAATAATTTGACGAAACATCGATAATTTTTTTTTCAGTATGAGAGATTTTAAATATGTATTTTTTTCTAGCTGCCTTCAAGAGACGGGTTGGGATCTCCAAAAGGCGATGTTTATCTTCAATAAACTTCAATCTGAGGGTAAAATACCTCATGAAGCATTTGTTAAGTGAATGTGAACAGATTCATATTGTTGTGTACACGTTTAGTATAAGAGATACGAGATTTCATCGTTCGTCAGAACTACGTATTGTTGTGAACTTTAATAATGAAGCCCGAAGACATCGAATACATTTAGATTTAAATCTAATCAGAACTAAAAGAAAAATCTCAAAACTGTAAAATTTAAATTGTTTGTTTTTAATGTTCTTTCAATGTAAATTAAAAGCAACATTTTATAGCTCCGCAAAATGCAATATGACGTTTAAATACTTGAAAATTTTCACGATGCTCTAAAATGTTGCTTTTAACAATTTTGTTAAAAATATCAGATTTAAAGTTAACTCTTGATGTTGTATTATAAAACGATTCATATTTCTGTAATTGACTACAATGTCATAAACAAAAAAAAATTAATGCAACATTTTATTACTTTTGAGAGTTGGAAAATGCTTTTTAATAATTGAAAATTGTAAAAATGTTGCATTTAAACATTATTGATAAACTTAATATCGAATTTAACTGTTTATGTTAATTGTAACAAACTTTCCCTATAACTGTGTTATCTTAGTGATAATTAGTTATTTTCAAATTTAATTACTATATAGTCATATTTTTCAATTATTTTATATTTTTTCTGAAATAATTATAAGCATATTGTTTATTTTGTCTTCAAAAAATTCTGTTTTATGCAGCAAAAAAAATGTGTATGTGTAAAAAAAACAAGTGTGACGATATTTTTTTATTACATTTCGTTGTCAAATAGAGATATTTCAATTTTTTTATGTTATTTTCATTGTTTTTCTTTGAATGTAGAAATGCACAACTAATCTGTGCTTTTCGAAAGATGATTGAATTAAATAAAATTATTGTGATATTGTTAGATTACATGATGTATAATTTTTTGACAGTCGCTGTCTTTTCGATTGTAATTTTTTTTTAAATGTAATTATGTCAAATATCTTTTAGATACTACAATTACTTATTAGATACAATTGTACAATAAAAAAAGCTGCATAGTGTAAAAAAAAATTATGTATATATTAGGTTATACTGGGGTTTTTGGGGATCGCAGTTTGTATGGTGTTATGGTTGTTGATGAACTGAGGTGTAACGCGGTCGAAACACGGTATTATACCGCTTGTTGTTTCCATGCGAGTGTTAGGGGTGTAAAACACCCCGTAGCGGCGGAACCCCTAGGTGGGCTAGCTGCTAAGGTTTATATCACCCATGGACGAGCGCAAACCACTAAAACCAAAACCATTCACCATTATTGGATTTCCACCTGCCTTATGAGGGTTGATAGGGTCAGAAACTAAGCAGTAATTTTAAGATTTATCGTAATATTTGAAAATAAAATGTCTGCAGCATTTTTTTGTTTATTTTTCTTACCTTTTTTTATCAAATCAAATCATTTATTACATTTTTATAAAAAAAATAAAACATGTACCATAGAATCACAATAGTAAGTCACCACTTAAAAAATCATCCACACTATAAACTCTTCCAAGAAGTAGATAAAAAAGCTGTCCTCATCATCATCATCGTCATCATCTCCTTATCCTACTCCCGTAGGGTCGGCGCGTCAGGTTTCTGTCCTTCACAAAAAAAAGCTGTCCTATTTTTTTAATTTCTACAGTTTTAAATTATTAAATAACTTGTAAATTTGTATACACATAAACAGCTACTAGTATACTTAGCAAGTCTGGGTTTATTTTGCAGCACTAGTCTGAACAGGTCGCGCCCGTTACGAACTGTAAATAATTCTTGATGATTTTAAATGGTCTTTGATTGTTTAAGGGATGTGGTGTCTGTTTTTATTTTTACAAAAATGTTGGTTTGATCTCCAGAGATTAATAGACGTTTAAGTGTCACTTAAATTCAATTATGCTTTATATTTAGATACATAAATCTTACTAATATTATAAATGCGAAACTTTAGATGGATAGATGGATGTTTGTGAGCGTTTGTAGCCTAAACTGCTGAACGGATCTCTATGAAATTTGGCACAGGTTTAGAGCATAGTCTGGAAGAACACATAGGTTACTTTTTATCCCGGGAATAGTTACGGTTCCGTGGGATTCATTAATAATTTATAATGAAAGGTCCTCTAAAGAGGGGTTGTTGGTGGGAACTAACAAATCTAAAACTTGAGATACCATTTCAATTTAAAGTTTTTTTTTTATAAACTCACATGGAGTTTGTATAGCCAGATATAAAGCTTGACTTAATTCGTGTCAGGGCTATTATTTAGTTTCTTGCGTAATTGTAAGATTTTGAGATGCGACACTGTTTACCATGCTGTCAGTCAGATCTAAGCATGTTGAATTAACCTGATAACGATAGATAAGTTAATTCTATGCAATACGTATGTGAATCATAAATCTGTTAGAATATTTCCAAGAAATTAATACGTAGTAGGAGAAGACAGCCCCTGTTTTTCCCTATTTTCATGAATATAAGTTATCATAAACGCATATATCAAGTAATCTAATGTAAATAATATAAAATGTTTCTTAAATATGAAATGTTGATTGTATAGATAGCCATCAAATAATTTTGACTTTAAGATTAATTTGTACATTCCGTAGCATTGTGATAACGTCGCATCCACTCATAAATTACCGATTTTATATATTTTTTGTAGTGGATCTAATTTGGCAGTGACTTGCCCCCAGTATTTTGTCGCGTGCAGTGGCCACCCCTGGCGTCAACAAAATATAAGATATTTTAACTATCGCAATTTGTATCTTAAAAAGTTCTAGATAAATCCAGCGCTTTCATATTCATTACTAAGACGCTATTTAATTTAAAACATTTGCTTCTTGAAATTGTTTACTCACGACAATAAAACCGCCCAGCTTTCGGGCGATTAGCTCCGTAATTTTTAAGGAAAACCGTGATGCGCTTTGCAATCGCATCAACTTATTTGGAGACATAAATAAAAGTTGTTTTTGATTCTGTTTTACAAAACTCCGTTTTGTTGCCAAGATTCTATAACAATTTTTGAAATAAATGATGTTGAAAAAAAAATGTACTGCCTGTATATTTTTAAAAACTATATTGTAATTTGTAATAAATTAATAAATCTGTTCCTTGCATTGCAAATATTTTATAACGTAGTATCATAATCGAGTCTTGCCATGAGAGTAGAGCCAAATCAAACAAGTTAATTACACGACCTGAATTAATAGGAAAATTTGTTATTACCTAGGCTATGACCTGGATACTTTGGAAAGTTTAGTCCTCGCTTAGATTACGAACATTATCTAGGGTTTAAATTCATTTAGGTCTGAGATGCTGTGAAAATCTTCCGCGGCTTGCGCGTCGCTTTTGTTGACGAAAGATAACTGCGTTGTAACGTTACGATACTGTTTTGTGGAATTTTACGTACAATAAAGATGTGCTGCGTGGTTTCATGTGAAAACATTACACTTTTAGTGCTCTCATACGTGGCCTGTTTTCACCGAAAAGTTGCAATTTTTTTATTATATGCAAGAGGAAACCACTTTTGTGGTTTACCACCACTTAATTTCACAGGAACTTGTTAAAATAAGATATTTTAAAGCAAAATACTGCATTGAACTTATAATATTTGTATTAAAGGACAAATAAAACACCATAAACTAGCAAAGAGAAAGTAATTAATGGTAATATTTTTAACATGTCAAGGAAAATTTTCAATAACATTTATAGGGGCTCAATTCCTTCAGCTCTTCAACACAATGTTCTGCTTAATAGGTGAATACGCGTTAGTTTGTTACCCTTTTTCGTTAAGACGTGTACTAGTCTTTGAGTTTCTAAAAATAGTCTTGTTGATAAGTTTCTCGTGTGATAATGAGATTAATTGGCGATTTGGTTTATAATTAGCAATTTGACTTATCTTTTAGTCGTCATTACGATCTCTGGTTTAGTACTTCATGTAATAGCGCGCTAACAAAGAAAAGTATGTTTTCGGTATATTAGTCTGTAAGTCTTAAGTTTTTAATCGCAATCATATGCTAGATCACAAGATCTAGAAAAACACTCTTAAGATATTCAGACATCTTGGTGTTTGTAAGTAAAATATTAAATTTTAGCTAAGTGCTCATAATAGGTAAATACTAAAGGAATATTTTCGTATCGTAATTGCGGCTTACAATCTGACAACAGAACGGACAAATTTTAATGGAATTTAGTATTATTATTCATATTTTAGTGTCGTTTCAGAACTTGGCAATACAAAGATCTCAAAGTCAATATAACCTAACTTTTTTCAAAAAAAATAAAACAGTTTTTAAGTTTGTATAAGTGATAGAAAAATGTAATGACGTATATAAGCTTTTTTATTAACAATGTTTGAGGGAGAAAGAATGAGGAATGTTAGAAATTAAGTCTGCGGCTGCAAATCGGAATTCCCGGTGACCTGTTTCATGTCTTGTAAGGACGTCACAACACAACGTAGAACAATGTTTATGGATTCACTATGATGATTGAATGGAAATTACGATTTAGCCATTCAAAAGTCATATATGATAGGATTAATTCTTGTTACTATATTTTAAACTAGCTATTCGCGTGCGGATTCATCCGCGTGAAATTATAAAAACTTTATTTTATTGTTTACATTTGTCAAATTATCAATAGCAAATGTCAAAATGACATGACATGCATAGCAATCTTTCTTTCTTGATGTTGGCAGCAACTTATGGTCTCTTTCCCACATTAGGGTTTTTATCAAAATATTTACCCCCTAAGTCTAATGGCGTGAAAATATATAACCTAAAGCATGACGTAAGTGTAGGGCTTTTTATTAAAACAAGAATTATTTAAAAATATGCTGTAATTGCTGACATCTTAGGGAACAAAGTAGTGTGTGTTTACGCTTTATTATAATATTATAGATAATCCTGTTTTTATATCACCACCATCAATAGCGCTTTACACTTAATATTAAATTAAAAAACTTTATCCTCTTCCTTCCTTTAACTGTCCAACTTTCCGATCCATACTTATATGTATTTCTCAGGATGGTTTAGTCTATTTATATCAATTATCAAAGTTTTCTAACGTATGACATTATCTTACTAATAATATAAATGCGGAAGTTTCGATGGATGGAGTTTGTTAGAGTTTACTGTATAAACTGCTAAACGGATTTTGGCATAGATATAGGTCATAATAGGGACGACCGTACAGATTTTGTTTTTTCCTCTACGTCGTCGGTGTCCCGGTCGAAAGCTATGAATTTTATGTATTTGATGTTAATTATATAATTATATTATGGACTGTTTTTCATGCAGTTATTACTGTGTAAATATTATCTTATTATCTTAATGAATTATATGATTTACTTAATCTTACTCCGCGTTACAATTCACATGAATAAAGAATAAATGGAAAGTTTCTTTTACAGATATCGCAGGAACTTCTATGTTGCTGTAGTTGTTGCTTACGAGTACATTGTCTATGGAATGTCTATGGAAAACAAGTAACAATCTTAGCGACTGAGGGGAAATCCTTTAATATGTTTTTTGTTGAAATAAAAGTAAATCAAATCATAATAACTTTGTCAGGTGAGCTTCTATTTAAAATGAACAAATTATTTAATATCGCTCTCTTCTATACAGGGATGGCGAACCATTGGTACGCGTCAAAATATTTTGGCTAAGTCGCTGATCACAAAATTTATTATGCACTACGAAACTAGACTAAGTGTAGGAGAGTACGCGGAATACACCCAATATTTAACAATAAATATAGATAATATAGATTATAACCCACAAACTATTTAAATATGAATTTCTGGATTTGCATTGTTTTAATAAAATAAATGCATACTACAATAAAATAATGTTACAATAACAAAATAAAACGATTGTGTTCTTCGATGTTTTTAATAAAATAACAATATTATTATCATGACAATGAATTTCATATTTGGCCTTATTGGAAAAATAACTATATGAACTTCATTCTAACACTTTAAACAATACTACAATTGAATCTAGTTTTAAAATAATTTAATTTAAACAAAACAAACATTTTATGCAAGTTATGTCTTTAAACGTAAGTTTTCACTGCAGCAACACATTTGCAAAATGCCGTCTTTGTACTTTTAGAGCTGTTTGGTAGACATGTTACGACATTGTTAACTGACGGTACACATTAAAAAGGTATGTCGTATTTGCGGTGCTAATGCAATTTTAAGGTAAAATATCGCATCGCCGCTCTCTTGACATTAGAGGGGTCCTTGAATTAACTAGATATTGTACTAAAAGTCACCATTCGAATGTACGTGAATAACGGTTACCTACTATAAAGTGTTGCAAGATGTTTTATTCATAAAGTTACCAATTTAAGTATTTTTTGTGGTAATGTTTTCGATCTGGAAAACACTACATAAGTGAGATAAGAACAGGAGGATGATAAATTAATTTCTGTATCAATTTAGCAAATTTTGTATAGATTAAGAGAAAAAGTAGTGACATCCAAGGAATACGTGTTCAAAGACCCCAATGTACATAAGCTATATTAATTGCTTTGAACTGTCTTTATAACCTAACCTAACCTAATTATTTCTAAACGTCTGCATCCTTAATTAACGTATTGAAGCTAAGATGTCGTATCACATCATCTAGACACATCACATTTTTAATTCTTTGTAGCTTCGTAAAAGACACGTTCGACGTAGTAAGAAATTTTGGCTAAGAACCAACAGGGATTGGACCAACATTGCCAGCGTCGAAGATCTGGTTTGTTATCGCAAGATAGGGGGAGATTAGCTAAGCTGGTGTTCCTTTATTAGTGGAGAGGCACAAGAAGAAGTTTAGTTACCTTAAAAAATGAAGTGACACATACAGAAGAATTCTAGTTGATGACAGTAGGCATAAATTGTTAAAAAAAATTAAGCCTACATGAATTATGTGGTTGAAAGGTTAAATGATGAAACAAAAGAGTGTATGTGTAGTTATTACTAAATTAAAGACTCGTTTGCCGAAAACAGTAGGTACCTTGATGTTCTGCGAGCACGTTGCTCGAGGCGGTTTCGCTGCGTACCTTCGCCGCGTACGGTAAAACTGGAATTGGCTTTCATCAACGTTGTTCTTTCTGCGACCTTCTTCAAGACAGTTAAGAAGAAAGTATTAAATACTCTAGAGGTTTATAACAAAAATCCGTGTGGAAGTGTATACTTTACATTGGAAGATCATCACCAGCTCACTATACGTCCCTACTGAGGGGCTCGAAGCCTAAATTAGGGTGACTAGGCCATAGTCAACCAGGCTGTCCCAGTGCGGGTTGGTTGAGTTCACTCGTATCTTTGATTTGGAAGATAAAACAATAAAATTAGTACGATACTTAACATGTACTTATTTGCAAAACATTGCTTGATTTTTGCAAAACAACTATTGAGTTGTTAACATGCAGCTGGTCAGAATGTAAAAAAATACAAAACATGAATGGCACATTGTAGCGCGAATGTGAACGCGGCTTTATATCGCTTGCTTTTACCTTAGTGCATTATCTTGATTCAGTTATCTGAGGCGGGCTAGCGGGCGCGGCGAGTGCTGGCGAAACAGAGGCAGTCGGTGTACGCAGTCGATGGTCGACGGTCGGTCGCCAGTCTCTGGCTCGGTTGTTAATTGTTATCAATCTGTGTTGTATTGTTGTGAATGAGTACGGTGTTTGTGTGGCTCTAACGGTACTGTTGCGCGCTTTAAATCTAGGTGAGTGTAAACTAGCCCTTAAATTTCTTTTTAATCTATCAAGTAAATGCACGTGTGCATTTGTTCATTTTAGCACTATTTTCTGGCTATTGTACTGGCGGTTTTTAATGCGAGTTTTATGTTCGCATTGTATTTCGTAAGCGACGCATACAAATGCATTTAATTGAACAGTTGTAAATGCATTTTTCATTACTCGTTTGTGTAGGATACCTACGTTTTGTTTGTATATAACCTTCCAATGTAAACGTAATTATTTTTATCACTCGTATAAATGGGACCAAAGAGAAAGTTTCAATTAAAAATCTGGTTGTTTATTGTAATATTACTTTAAGTATGTTTTATCTTGTTTAAATATTTAATTAACTACAGTTATTTTATTGTGATTAAAATAATTTTATAATTAATTGAAAACCAATTCAAAATTAAAAGTAATGTAAACGATTGTTCGTAGTATATGCTGTTATCCAATGTCATTAATTTATTCATTTCGATGAAAGAAGCCCTTTTCGATCAACACGAATACCATAAATGGGAAAGAGGGGCAACACCGGTCTTGCCGAATACGGCATGTTGATGAAAAACATGTGGAAACAGCAAGGTGGGGTAGGGTGCCAGTAAAATTTAACCTTCCATAATTATTTGCGGTAAAACCGTAATATAATTAAAATCTTAAATGCGAGATTTGAGTGAACATTCTTCTGTACTTTTCTCAACTTCAACTATTAATTTTTTTCTTATATCACGCATTAAAAGTCACAGACCATAGCTAGTAGTACCTTATTTCAGTTTCTCTGACAATCTATAAGTGAAGTAAATCTCATAAAAATGAACAAGACATGTCATTTTAGAAACAAGGATGTTTTGTTTGTCCTTGTTTGATGCATCATTGTTATGACAAACTCCTGATTTGCGATGTATTTTCACGTACAAAAGGTTCCTCTTACTAAGGTTATTGACCTTCTTGTTTTCTTACTCGAAGTTGTTACAAATGTCAAATTGTTTAATGTCATTGACCTGAAAACGAAGGTTCCAGGGACAGCTCACGATTTATTCAATAGCTTTGACTGAACTAAATATTATGTACTGATTATTTACTTGTAAGTGGCTAGAAAATATTCCAATATATTTTTAAGTTTGGTTTGGTACTTTATTTCTAGTATGGAAAAGAAATGATGACTAGTAGATATTAGGTAAAATTAACTCTAAAAGTTATTATTACATTTTGTCGACTTTGAAAACAGAGACAGACTGTCATGTCGATTAATAGAGATGTCATGTTCTTATTGGATTGACTATTAATGCGTTTTGTACACAAAATACATGCATACATACATACGCATACATGCGACAAAGAAATCGACCAGAAAAATCGATTGCTATCCAAATTAAAATAAATACAAACATACCGTAAGTTTTAGTATTTAGTCCGGTATTCAATGTTTATTAAAACAGTAATTTAATTAAAAATGTCACATGTTTCACCACTTCTGTAGTTTTTTTATTATAATAAATGTCTTGCTTCTAGATTCTTATGTTGACTTTCATTATAATTCTATTTTAGTAAATACGCAATAAAGCATAGAAGTTGTAACATTATCATATTGTTATTAAATGTTATAACTGTTTATGGAAGCATTGTCAGTTTAATCTCCGTATAGTCATTGTAATTATGCAATATTTAATACTAGTTGTTCTCGCGCGGCTTTATCCGCATGGAATTATATTTTGTTGTCTACATTTGTAAAACTTTCAATGTAAATGTCAAAATTCAAATGACAAAATTACAACGCAGGCCTTTGCGCAAGACGGTTTTTCATTTTATTTACCACCTAAGTTTTACAGCATGTAAATATATATCCTAAACCGTGTAGTAAGTGTAGGGCTTTTTATTAAAAACACCTTTATCCAAAATTATGTTGTGATTGCAGACATCCTACATTTATCATATTAGTACAGAGTAAAGATATAGATTTGTAAAACGGAACGTGTTATAAAACAAAATTAAAACTCAACAACAAAACGGACGAATACCAATAGCAATATAATACGAAGATATATCGTCATTCATTCAGACGATTATCAAAAATTTCTGAGAAGAACTAAACTACATGTTTATAGTAACACTAACCGTGAATACAGCCAGAATATTTACATAAAACTTATAGCTATCTCTCATCCTGTCTTAAGCCCGCTAGACACGCTTAGTTATATCTGAACATTCAGATCGTTCAGATAAATCTAACGTCTGTAAGCCAAACAGAAATCCGAGAATTATTCCCAGCCGTCACCCCTTTTGCAACGAGGGGACGGTTGGACCTTATTTCATAAAAGTTCCATCTGTCAACCTATTGATAGTGTGACTGAAAGGTAAGATAGAGGAAACCTTTTATTCTCACGTGGGAACAGAGCGGGATGACGGTTGGGAATAAACCAAATCCGACTGTTCAGATAAAACAAAACGTGTGTAGCAGGCTTTAGAAAATAGGTGAGATCACATGTTTTTAAACAAATGTTTCGGTAGTAGGAACTAACGGTTAGACATTAGACATGTTTCCGCGACGCAGACACGCAACATTTTGCTCACGTTACACACTGTAACGTAAAATGTATTCAATCGCTTCCGTACATGTTTTGTCTGCACTGATAATTACTAATGAACTAAATTAACATTCGAAAGTCACCGTTATAAAAATGTAACGCCATATTTTTTGTAAGACAGTCGATGTTCTACCGTGTCCGATGATTTTCTAACATAAACGGAACTATAGACTATAGCGTATTAACTGTCTATTATGTTTTTTGACCGACTTCCCAAAAGAAGGAGGTACTCAATTCGTCTGTATGTTTTGTTTATGTGTGTTACGGCATAACTTCGCAGCTAGTGGACCGATTTTGATAATTCTTTTTTTTTATCCGAAAGGTAATGCTTGCAAGTGGGTCCCATTTATTTAAAGTAAAAACATTAAAGGGATGGTTAGATTTGTTATAAACGAATACGCTTTAAACGCATTACATCTGTAGTTCATAGTAAAAATACTTCACAATTAAATTTTCTTTAACACTCACTAAAGTTTACAAGTAAATTAGTAAAAAAAGGCAAAGAAACATCTAGAATTACTATATTTCAAAGTAGAATAATTTCTGTATGATAACATAAAAGTTGTTTATCTTGTACATCACAAAACTAACTGCAGTATGTACGTGATTTCGCGTGAAAACGCGGGAAACATGGGAAAGTTTTATAAGTGGCAATCTCAAGATATACCACTCATGTTAAGCCGTAATTTATCATAAGTTTTCATAAGAAAGTGTATACGAATGAGACAACCAAAATTTTTTCAGTAAAAATTTTACTGCTACCAGAACTAAATGTTTTACATATTTTTAATTATTTTACGTAATCTTGAGAAGGACTATAAAGCTTTTTTTAAAATATTTAAACAAACGAAATACCTTTTATTCGGTAATAACAAAAAAAAACTGATTATCGTAATAGTTTGAGGATTTACACTCAAAATATTTCCAACAATATGCGAGTATTTTTTATCTTAAAGCATCTTTAATATCTGATTCTGCACTTTTTTCTATTAAACATTATACGTTACATACAGCCAATCGTTGATAATAAAATTGAGTTAAATAAATAAATAGTGGTATCAAGCGTCTGTTGGCTGATCGCACTTGTAAGTTGTTAGGATCAATTGAAAGATCGTTTAGATAAACGGGACACTCCGTAATGCCCACCCACACTCGAAACAAGACGTGTCCAAACTGCTCGTCTTCACTGTTTAATTTATTTCCGAGTCTGCAGTATTTTTTAAGTAATTTTGTAGTAAATGACAAGGAGAAAACAATGTACACCAGTGACCCATTTAGTGTACACCGGTGCAGTCTCAGTGTACACCAGTGCAGTCTCATTGTACACCAGTGCAGACTTAGTGTACACCGGTGTAGTCTCATTGTGCACCAGTGCAGTCTCATTGTACACCAGTGCAGACTTAGTGTACACCGGTGCAGTCTCAGTGTACACCAGTGCAGTCTTATTGTACACCAGTGCAGACTTAGTGTACACCGGTGTAGTCTCATTGTGCACCAGTGCAGTCTCATTGTACACCAGTGCTGACTTAGTGTACACCGGTGCAGTCTCATTGTACACCAGTGCTGTCTCATTGTATGCCAGTGCAGACTTAGTGTACACCGGTGCAGTCTCATTGTACACCAGTGCAGACTTAGAGTACACCGGTGTAGTCTCAATGTACACGAGATTCTAAATTAATTCAGATCTAGGAAACATTACCAAATATGTGTATACCGGTGTACAAATAAACCTTATTTATTTTTTACAACACTTTTCTTAGCAATCAAATAGTCTATTATATAAAAAGAAAGAGTTTGATAAAGCTATGATAAATATTTTCTATTGTAATTATTTTACAATCAATAGGACATAGAAAATGTTAGAGCAGACCACATCACTGGTGGTATCAAGTAACAATGATGCAATGCTTAGTCAGCACTATGCTGCAAATAATAAGGCCATGCAAGAGTTCATTATGTTGATATACGTCATTAGCAGTCGATGTATGCAGGTGTATTGTAACTGTACTTAGGTCATCTTTAATAGCGGACATTTAGTACATTAATCTGCTATAAGAGACTGTCTAAATGTTAAAACGATTCCGAGTATTGAAGTTAAAAATAGTATAATTATAGTTAAAAGAAATAAAACGTCGGTACAAAGTTTTTATCGTAATTAAAACCTATTTGATATCCGAAATCGAATAAAATTCTAATCGATTTTTTTGCAACGATTTTAGTCACAGCTGTTTAGCCTTGACCCATTCTTATTTAAAAGAAAAAGAAAAATGCTTTATTTTTATTTTAAAGTTACTGACCATACCTGATGTCACTATCAAAAGTGTGGGTTTACCCACATCAAGGAAATCGTATAAAATTATTTATATTGCAAAATAAGTGATTTCATGTAATCGATAAATTAA